ATATATATATATATAAAACAAGTATAAGCAGGGGAAGAAGTTTGGGGATTTTTTCTTCAAGTGCTTCTTGTGTTCTGTAAATGGCTACATGGAATCAGAGGGCAGTAAGCTGTTTGTCAGACTGTTGGTTTAAACGATTTATGGGTAACTATTTGAGACTGAGATGTACATTTCTTTAATTTCTCTTTTAATTTCTATAAGAATTCTAGGCTGTGAACATATTTAGGTAGACTATTGTCCAAGTTTCAGTACAGGGAAACAGCTAAAAGTTGCATACTTATGGAGACAGTGAATAGCACATGGAGCTACTTTTTATTTATTCTGTCTGTAGCTTATTGGGCCCCAGATCTTGCTGTGCAGCATTGTTTATACTGCAATGCCACTGAGTAAAAAATGCAAAAATGCTGTGAAGGTTCAAGGCCTGATCACTCTTAGACTGTGTAGTGTCATTCTTATCCCAAAGGATATCCAGAATTTATAGGGAAATAAATTGCTATAGACTTTCTGTAAGAATTCTTTGGCAAATGAAACTTCGAGAAGAATTCTTCATCCCCAGTGAGAAGAAACGGGGAGATTGTGATTTGCCGAAGGACAAGTAGTGAGCCAATTTGTTCCATCAAAAATAGGGATAAGGAGCTTTGATTCTAGCCTTTTTTGTAACTTTTAGACAGCACTCTCAGCCAAGGTGACGTCACCCATGTAGAAATAATGAATTTTGGTCACAGAAGTAATATTGAAGCTCTCTTTCTTTGCCGACATTAAGATTTTACTTATTGCAAAATAGATTAAAGATCCAGGTTGCCTTCACTGGTTGAAGTGATAAGACTTCAGGGTACAGGATGCACATATAGAAACAGAGCGTCTATGTGGTTCTAGATCACCTGTTGAGGCGATCTAGAAATTTGAACAATGAAGTAAATGTGTTCCAGAAGAAGGAGGAAGGTCTTTTTCTCCTCATAGCTGCAGTAATTTATGATGTGTAGTATGCATGATATTTTTTTCAGCATGTAACTTAAGGGATTTTTTTTTTATCTGTAGTCTTTACAGAGTGTTTATTCTATAAGCAGAGTAGTAGTGAAGAAAGATTCACAGAGTAGCCAACATGAAAGTAACATTGTGGAGAGGGCAGAGGGTTGAGGCATTCAGTATTCAGAGGAGCATTTTTCTTCATAGAGAAGTTTTAGAATTCTTCAGCAGATGCTAAAGCAGCAGTTTAGGACAGTTTTTGTCCAAGATGTGTTTGATTGTGGAGTACTCAGCTAAAAGTAATCCAGAAGTTGTTTTAAGATTGAGGTTCAAAGAATTTTTCTTCTGTGAATCTTTAAACTGGAGCAGGTGTTATGATTTGTAGTCTTTGCATACTGTATCAAATCAGCTATTTTGTGTGGTAGTTTACCATTAATAGTCAATTTCACACATAAATCTATCTTCTGTTTTCCCTTTTAATTGCTAAGTATTAAGTTTGTATTTCTTGGTCCAGTTTAATCCTTTCTTTCTTAATTACTCTGGGTATGTTTTAGGAAAGTCAATTAAACCATATTATTGTACTATATGCGGTACTCTTTAGACTGTACTGGAAGGTGAGATATGAACTTCAAATGTAACTGGAAAAAAGTATTTTCTTGTAAAATTTCTATTTCTTTACAAAAATTCTGATCAATGTAAATAGGGATGTAACAAATTTTGCGGTGGCATAGGTCAGGTTGATAAGAATATGTTTGACGGGGGTATGGAAATGTACAGATTTCTTTCTTTATATTTGTCTGACAATACTTTGTTTTGCTGAGAAGAAATAAACCTGTTTGTATTCTGTTACTGTTTCAGGGGTTTCTAATAAACTCAAAGCCAGAGAATGCATGTGAGCCTATAGCCCCACCTCCATTGAAAGACAACTCGTCTGGTGCTTTTATTGTGTTAATTCGAAGGCTTGAGTGCAACTTTGATGTAAAGGTAAGTTTGTTTTAACTGAAGGTCTTAGAATTTACCTGTGTCGCAGAAAATATCTTTAGTTTACGTCAGAGTAAACTCTGAAGAGAAGAAATCTATTGTCTGCAGGGAGATAAAGCAGCATTATTTGTAATGCAATTTAGTTCAAGGTTGTATGAGTTACCTGTTTGAGTCAGCATGTGTGGCAAATAAGGATGACTGATGCTGTAGTTTTATCATAGAAAGTATTCAGCATCAAGCTCAGGAACTTCAGATATTTTGTACTCTAAATCCCTCCTCACCTTGTGTGTGTCTGGCTCAGGAAGAAGCGGGTGATGGTGGTGGGAAATTAACTGCTACTTTCACATATTCTCTTTGCCTGTTTGTTTGCTGTCCCTAAGCTGATGGGTCAGCTGCAGCTATTGTTAATGGCACAGGTCAGGAATATTCTAACAGAATACTTTTTTTAGTCAGAAAATACAACAAATGCTTTTTCACTGAAAACTTATTTTGTTGAAGAAATCAGTGTGTGGCTAGCCATTAAAAATATTACTTGATTTCCTGCTCGCCCCTGTTTGAGTTCTTGACTATATGCCTGAGGCTTAATTTCTGAGGCCCTTGTTTACATACTTTTAGACCAGGAATTTTCAGGGCTTAATATGCTAGTAAGTTGTCCAAGGGTTTCAGCAAATCAACAAACTGCAGAGCTTTGTCTCTAGCTGGTGGTGCAGGGATTTGGGATCCGTAACACCACAGATCTGGAATGCTGGGGAAGGTGATGTTTGAGGGTGTTCCCCTCGAGGACTGCTCTGGGGGCTTGCGTGCGTTTCGGACTGAGAGATCGTGTGTGTGGCCAATGTGTCTTCAGCCTGAGATTCTTGCTGCTGTGAGTCAGGTGCTCATGGAAGACAGGGCCTGAAAATCTGCGTCGAGATGTGAGTTATTTTATGATCAGCTGTCAGATACGTAGGACAGGACAGGTGCACTTAAATGCCGTCCATTGTGAAGTCCCATCTATCCCTTTTTTTTATATTTAATAACTCAAAATACAGATGAGTATCTCCTTCTCTAGTTTCATGTGTGAATTACGACAGAAACCATTTATTTCCTGACATTTCTTTCTTCACATATAGTGATTTATTACAGAAAGAATTGTCTCAAAAGGTGAAGGGTGAAGACTGAAAGTAAATGAAAGGGCTTCAGGGCCCTGTAATGCATCTTCTCACTTGTTGTAAGTGATCCCTACTGCTGTTCCTGTTGGTGAGCTGTGTGGAAGGGACGTGTCTGTAGGTGGTACTGTGCTTTGAACTCCCGTGTAATTACAAAACTAACTTCTCAGGCCTGCATTGGTCATTGCCAAATGTGGAAAAAAGTCATCTGCAGCATGCAGGGTTATCACATATTTTCTGCCTGCATAAAGCAGTCGTCCAACTAAATAAACATAATGTAAAATTGTGTTGCATATGAAAATACATATTAGAATGTTCTTGGATTATATATAATTTAGGTAAAGATGCATTAAAATTCTGCCTCTTTGGGCAACAGGAGCCACACTATTACACATGCATCGTTCTAGATATTTTGTGCATATTTTCTCTAGCGACATAATACTGGGCAGGCTCCAAGCCATGTCTCTTTTTCTACCTCTAACACTGATCTTAAAAACACTGAGAAGCCCCAAGGTGTCTGTGCATTGCCTTAAGATTGTTTTGCTGCTTGGCGTTAGAAATATGGTGAGGGAAGCCGAATTGATGCCGATCTGAGGGACGTAATCATTTAATAAGGAGCTGATTGTCATGTTCTTGTAATGGCAAGTTGCTCTTTAATAAGAAACAAATTCCTGAAGCTGCCACACCCTTTCTGGATGAGTGTTTAAAAATGGATTAATAGATGTGTGTTAAAAATAGATTCATACTTCAGGTTTAGCACATAATTAATATTTTTATATTTGGAGCCCTGGGTAACTAGAGAAGTTAAAGCTTCCGAATCTGACCAAATTATGCAGCTTAAAGAAGCAAAACTGCTTTTACAGATAGATGGTGCCTTTAAATGTGTGCTTGTGGTAGCAGTTGCAGATGATGTTTGTCTGTGGTCATGGTTTCTAAGCATTGTGCTTCTGACAATGAGCCTGTTTTACAACTGTGATTTGAACCCTATTTAAAATGTTTTATCTGCACAACATTTAACCAAAAGAAGTAGTATTTGGAAACACTGCAGTGTAATATAAGTTTCTTATTTCGGTGCAGTGACAGAGGGTGCAGTTCTTGGTGAAAAAGCAGTAGTAAAAGGTTGTGTGTGTGTGGTTGTTTGTTTGTTTTTCTGCTCCAAACAAGACAAAAGAAGCACAGTAAACCCAGTTATGACACACAGAAAGCTAGTCGTATGTTGTTTTCTACCTGCAGGAGTTTGTGAAAAATACCTTCTTTGGTCTCATAGTGCTTATCTTATTTCTTAAGGAATGTTATCATTTTCCTATTTAAATAAAAATCCTGTTTATAAAACTGGAATCTTGAAATCTACTATTTAAATACAAATTGAAATCACAGCTGGAAAACTGTGTCCAGTGCTGGGCTCCCAGTACGAGGGAGACGTGGGTGGGCTGGAGTGAACCCCGTGAAGGGCCGCCAAGGTGCTGAAGGGACTGGAGCATCTCTCAAGCGCGGAGAGGCAGCGAGGACGGGGGGCTGCCCAGCCTGGAGAGGAGAAGGCTCGGAGGGATCTTACTAGTGTCTGTGAACACCTGATGGCAGGAGTGTGAAGACAACAGAGGAGGCTCTTCAGTGGTGCTCAGTGACAGGACGAGAGGCAGTGGGCGCAAACTGAAACTGGGAAATTCTGTTTGGATGTAAGAAAACATTCTTTCTGCAAGGATGCTGAATATTGGAACACATTGTCCAGAGAGATTGTGGATCTGATGAGATAATCCCAACCTGACTGGACACAGCTCTGAGCATCATGTTCTAGGTACCCCTGCTTAAGCTGGGGGCTTGGATAGATGATCTCCAGAGGCATCTCCACAGCCCCAACTGTGCTGTGATTATGTAAGTCATGAGGGTGGTAGATTTTCATGCACTAAATGGAGCTTAGCAGGTCGGTCTAGAGAGCCTGCTATTGCAGATTTTATCTGTGTACCATATCAATCTTCACTTGCGTGCGGGGAAGGGATGTCGTCTTGACGGTAAGAAGTGCATACTATTTTTTTCCTCTTCATGTGTTGCCAAATCCTATGTGCCCATTGCATAAAAGCAGCATCCTGCACCTTTTGATTTTGTAATAGGTGTACCAGACTAGCAAAAATACAGAATGATTAAATGAGCAAGTATTAGCTTTCCAATCCCGTAACCCTGCGTTTCTGAACGGAGCAAAGTCAAGGGGTCTTACATGCTGCTTTGTGTGCTGCTACTGCTGGTGGCATCATGTTTGAGGTAGCATTCGTTGCTCTTACGGAGTATAGGTTGTAGGTAATAACAGCAATAATAACTTTGTCAGGTTGTCTCATCTTAATTTTTATGAACTTGCTGGTTATCTGTATACTTAAAAGAATATTTTAAAAAATTCTACAAAATATTTGTAGCTCAAGCTGCCCTGGAAAAATATTGGAGGGCCTTGTTTCTTGGGTGTAAAACTGCACATTTAAATACATATTTTTTTGACCTAATTTAGAAATTTCTCTGGTATAAAAATAATTGTGCATCCCTTTGAATGTTTGAGGTATAACAAAAATTGCTAACCTTTAAAGCAAGTGACTTAACATTTCATCTGACAACTTAATGTTTTTGGGTTCAGGGACTAGCATGTCTTGTATTTGGGTAGGGAACTGCTAAGAGCACCTTCTCCTCAAATATTGAATACTTGGAGTGCTGGGATTCTATAGCAACAAGCAAACTGCTCTATGAACAAAACATACCTTTGACAGTATTATAGGAAGTTGAATTAAAATATTTTAAAAATATGTAATTTTAATATAAAAATATTTAATATTTACCACTCTCTGAAAACAAGTATGATTTTTTTTCCATGATTAAGTGTTTGTGTTTATCTCTTAAATATTTTGAGGTACAGATTTTGTAACTAATAATGATATGTTGCTAAATCTAGGCAAGAACAACATTAATATTAGTGAAGAAATTAAGTGTAGCATTTTATCCATTTTAATTGGATTGTATTTTACAAATTGGCTCATTTTATAGTCACTTAGAGAAATATCTTTAGTCTCTTGCTGCTCGTTAGTAGCAACTTAAGAATAGAGACAGACTTCTAAATTCTTTTTGCTTTAGCACTTTATGAAAAATAAAAAGTTTATTATTGTCACTGACTGAAGTTTTATGACTGCTATGAAATGAAGTGCATTTTATGAAACAACCTGCTTGCTTTCCTCTTGATAGATTCTGAAATCACTAACTTGAAATGGGTCTGTTATTACTGCAAATTTAAGTGCTCACTTTAACAGGGAGTACTGATTCAGTGCTGGAACTATGTACTAAAAGCTGTGAGTTGGGAATTGAGTCACTAATTTACAAGCGTGTCTAAAGAAACCATCACCTACCACATACATTCAAGATAAATAGCGATGCCTTAAATGGGCAGACTGCTCTTTTCTTCATGCTTATAGAAAGATATATGGTAACTGTTAGAGTCTAAGATTAAACACATGTAATCCAGATTATTTGAGTCTTTATAGAGGAGATGCAGTGCAGACTTGGGTGCAGTGGGTTATGAAATAGATGTGATTTAATGGAAATACATTGGGATATAATGTGGCCCAGTATGAGGATTTAAAGAAATCCTTTCCAGTTTCAGAACAGTTTTCTTGGGATTTGTTTCCAGGAATTTCTTTCTCTCTATTTGAGTTCATATCGTCTCTCTTATAACCAGGGAATGTGTGCTGCCATATATAAGGAAAAGATGTATTTGTCTGGCTTCTGTAGTGAATCTTCAGTACAGCAGGATAAGCTAATTCATGTTCCAATTCAATATTTTAATTCTTCATTTTTGATCAGAAAACTGAAAGGGTGAAACGGTTATAATCTAGATAAAGCAAAACTTGGAATGAAGGCCCTAAATAAGTGCATGGCGTAGACAACTAATACTGAAAGAATTGTGTGTTAGAGGGTTGAATCCCAAGTATCTTTCAGTTCTACCCAAGGGACCGTAGCTGGAGTTTTAAAGGAGTTTGTGCTTGGTTTTATCCTCCTGTAGTGTAAACATGCAGACTTTGTTTCCTGTGCTAAATTGTTTTTCTTCATGAAGCTAAAGTGTCAGATAAAATCATGCACTATTTCATTTTTTCCCCACTGATTAGAATAATATGGTTGTGCTTTTTTTTTTTTTTTTTAAACCTTCTGTTACAGTACTATTCTTCTGAATGGCTCCATGTGCTTCTCTTAATCAAATCTTTCCACAAAGCAAGGCTTTAACTGTTCACCCTGAGTTCCCTTTTCCCTTAGTACTCCTTGGAACCACTTAGCTCTTAGATTGTGTCTGCGTTGCAGAAGAGCAGCAATGCCAGCATTTTCCACAGAAGCTAAGATGGCAGAGCAGGTATCATTCTGCATGCCCGTGGCTACGATTGCATAATACGATTTTGAAACTACAGAGAGAAATGATGTGAGACGAAGGAGAAAGCTTACTTAGGAGGAAAATGCAAATTGGTTTATTTGCTGAATTTAAGTGCCTGAACTCCTTCATGACCCGTTAACTGGAGGTATGGCCAACAGTGAAGAAACTGGGGAGATGTTAGAACTGGAGATAGGAGAGTAGGAAATTCAAGGCGTATTTAGAGCATAAAAAGTAAATTGGAAGTAGGGAGAAACAGAACTAGATTTTTGCAGAGCTTCAGGAGAAGAAATATTAGCTGCAAGACTGTTAGAGCTGGAAAGAGATGAGGCATGCATGCAGCAAAAGTCTCCATGTCCTTCCCCTAACCTGAAAGACCAAGACTAAAGCGTGAGACTGAAATTATGTTACTTTGAGCAACAGATTTTTGGGAAGAGAACTCTGTGGTGAGATTAAGGTACCCAAACTACTAATCTTCTAAATTTTAGAAGCTGCAACCTCTAAGAAAATAAACTGAGTGAAGTGATAGACTTGGAAAAGCTCATATAGGGTCCTTCCTGAGGACTAGTTTTGCATGTCAAGGGTAACACCAGAAGGGGAAATGTAAAGGCAAAAAATGCCTTTTGCAATTTAGGAGTGATAGAAGGGTGCAGTGAAATCAAGGTTACTTCAGACTTTTGTGCTGTCACCCAAAATAGAAAATAATTCAAAAAAAGCAAATAGATTTAACAAAAAAAGCCCAGAAAAAGGCATCCTGAAGAAGTTGACTCGCAAGATAAATGTGAGTAATCTGTCTGATAGTAAAACATACTGTCTTCAGTGCTTCTCTTAAATTTATCGGGTGTCTGGGTGCCTCGCGCGGAGCCGCGGGGGGAGGCGACGCTCCCCCTCAGAGCGCGTCCTGCGCCCTGTGGTTCCTTAAGCTTTCCAGTTACCATCTCAAGGGCTATCAGAGTTATAGCCTTTATTTTAAAAATAGATTACAGATTATTTTTATCTATACATGAGGAGGATTTTAATCCTGGTTTTAATCGATGTAAAAGCTTTTTCTTTTTTTCTTTTTTTTTTTTTCTCTTGGAGAAACAGTATTGAATTGTATGGCTATAATAATTGTGTTACTTTTATTTTGAAAGTTGATAGTTGTTTTCTAAGTGAAGATGAAATTGTGCTGATATTTCAATTTCCTGAAGTGCAACTTGTCTTACAGAAGAATAGCAAGTTACTATATTTTAAAGCAGTCTAATAGTAGTTCTTATGGCTTGCAGGTTTTAAATGCTCAGCGAGCTGGGTACAAGGCAGCGATAGTTCACAATGTTGATTCCGATGACCTCATAAGCATGGGATCCAACGACAGTAAGTACAGGTATCACTTCTCTCCTGTTTGAAAATCATTTCACCCACTAGAGTGTGCCATATTAAAGTCATTTTAAAATATTATGACAAGCCCTTGTTATAAAAGCAAATAAAATATGTTAGAATGTGTAGGTATACTTGTATATTCTTTTTGATGTTATCTTGTTTTTCACATCCTACCTTTCTTTTGTTTTCCTTTATGTTTTAGTTGAGCTTTTCTGGGTTAAATGGTTAAATTTGAGATGGATCTGTATGGCTGACTTTATTTTACTGACTTGGATAGATTAACATAATTGAATCTTCTGAGCATGGAAGAGAGCTGAGCTGTGGCAACTTGTGTTGAAGATTAGGTGGTACCACAGGGAAAAAAATCAGTCAAGCTCTACTGTGTCAGATAGAATTCAAACAGTAAAATGCAACCTCTAAATACATATTGATTTAATAATAAATATTGATTGAGGGAGCCGGGCCTGTTTAGCCTCGAGCAGACTAAGAGGGGATCTTTCCAGCATGTACGAACACGTAAGGGAGGGCGCCGTGAGGACGGTGTCCCTGTTGTCAGCGCCAGCGCAGGAGGCAGTGGGCACCAGCTGCAGCGCGGAGGCTCCTCCTGGCTCTGGGGAAGCCCTTGCTGGCCGTGGGGGCGGCAGCCCGCGAGCAGGGCACCGCGGGTGCGTTCGGAAGGCGCCCGCGCCGGATCCTGCGGCCGAGCTGTGCGCGACGGACCTGGGTGAGCTCTGGGGGCCCCCTCTGACCTCAGCCAGGCTGTGGTTAGTGGTTTCGTTTTGCTATTGCACTGTTTGGTGCATTTTTTTCCTGTTCATTTGAGTAAGCTTATGTGAATGTATGTTGTATATACATTCCCATATATTTTCAGTTTTTCAGTTGGAAGAAATATGCTAGAGAACATTATGTCAATTCCTGGTTGATTCTGATTTCCCCCTTTCATGGAATGAATATATACAGAACATCATCTAATCTAGCCACAATGTTTGGTTTATTTTCTGGTGTGTGTTTTTTCCCTATAAAATACTTGTAAAAAAGCATACAAAATGTACTATTGAGAATTTAAGAAGTTCTGATCCTTAAAAATGTCATTATCTTCAAAATAGCACTGTTTGTGTAAGTGTTCATCGTTTCAAAGGACTAGATCTGTGAAGTTGTTCATGTCAATGTAGTGCTGATAAAGCTTTCTCTGTGGCAGTTTTTCTTTTTTTTTTTTTTTTTTTTTCCTCCCTCTTGAGCTTACAATGGGACAGGAACTTTAATGAGAACCAAAAAGCTCTTTCCCAGCATTTGCCAGTGTTGAGCAAAATATCTTACTGAAAATTAATTTCTAAGTGATTGCTGAGTCGCCCAGAAAGCTATATGTACATAGCTTAAATGAATTCCCAAACCACATGAAACTTATTTTCAGGTTTCACTATAAACTCAAAATGTAGAATACAACAAACCCTGATAGGGGTATTATAGAGTGACATTAAGCTGTTTCTGCTTCTGTTTTGTAGTAATTAAAAACACATTCTTTGTCACAGTGTTTTTTTTCAAGAGGGATAGAGGTGGGAAGAAATGCTTTGTTACTGATTTAACCTTAAGGTTCTTCTGACCTTGGAGTGTAAACTAAGTCCGAGATGCAAATCAACATGAAGTCGAGGAAAAGGTTTTCTGGAATGTGGGTTGTAAACTCAGTCAGCTAAGACATTTCTAGTTCATACATTTCAGACTGCTTCATTGGTTGGCTTTTATTTATCTCTCAGTATTTTTTAATTTGAGTTGCATCTTTTGAGCTTATTGCTCTGAGTAGTTAGCAAGGAAGGGGGTGGCAGTTTCATCCACTTTATTACTGGACTGAAGTAGAGGAGAGGGTTTTTCATTCTCTCCTTTCTGTTTTTTGACTGTTTTCAGAGTGCTCAGTTACGTCTAAGGGGAAAGGCAGGGGCGTAGGGCTGATAAGCCAGAACTAGGTCATAAAATCATACGACTTGCCAGAACTTCTGGAATCAGTGGAGCTGTGTGACTTTGTCCAGTCTCAGAGTAATAATGATACTCTCATTAAAATTAATCCAATGATAATTCTTTTTTGTCAAAAGGTCTTTTATGTCAGTTTTAAATGTTCCATTAAGAATTTGAGTTTTGTATTTGCAATAAGCCCTCTAGATATTTGGCAGGAAAAAAAAAATACCACTCCTCATGTGGTGTGAAGGCAGAGCATGCTCATACATCAGTATATATGTCCTTATGTTAAAAGATGTCTCTCTTCATGGTGTGATTGCTTAATGTTTTGAGTCTTGTGTCCTAAGCGTACCCACTCGGTCTATGTAATGCTGGTTTTGTTTTCCCTCTCTTCTGTTCAGTTGAGGTTTTAAAGAAGATTGACATTCCTTCTGTCTTTATTGGTGAGACATCAGCGAATGCTCTTAAAGAGGAATTCACTTATGAAAAGGGGTAAGTTACCTCACAAGCAGCCGCATTGTCCATTGCATTACAACATTGCTTCTTTTTAGTATTTAGAGGTTTAAAAGAGGGTTTTGTAACAACGGTGGGCTGCAGGTATTCCCGGGGAAGTAGTGAACCTTATTTGCTGCTGATTTCACTGAATCTGCAATTTTGCATTTTCTCCTGTTCTGCTTTGTTAGTATGTGGTTTCAAGTAGTTACGAACAAGTGGACACTGTGACAGAATGGCTGATGTATTACAGTGAAATTAGTTCAGTCACTGACAGTTAAACTGCTTTATCTGGGGCAACTGCATGAAACTTCACTTTGGGCCCGAAAGATGAAATCAGTCCAACTTGTGTTTTCAATTTTTGTTTGAAGAATACTTACTGACTACTGCTTATTGTCACTTGTAACCTGAACACCACACTGGCGAGGTTCTGAGATATTTGAGCCTATTACCATATTATTAAAGGATATTATGTGCTAGATACGTTTTGGAAGAAATGCCATGTAAAGCTAAATGTCAAATTTGAAGTGCTTACTCAGCACTGTGTTCCCAGTTTGCTGCTTTCTGCACTGGAGTCTTGTAAACTAACAAAGTTGTATGTTGAGCCATCTGGATGTGTGAAGGTGTGTTAGGAGAAGCTGAGATTTGCTCCATGATTGCTCAGACCATCAGTGCTGTTTGCATAACTCTGGGGTTGGAGGGAAGCGAGCAGTCAGTATGTGTGACCCCTGAGGGGCCCTAGGGGCTGTTAAAAGCAAAACAGCGCAAGCAGAATTTTTCTTTGGACTATATTGACTACTGTATGGGTTCAGGAGGTTACTCTGTCCTCTTAGTTACACTAAAACACCTTTAAAATAATGCAGTATATGAACATGGAAAGTTTATTAGTTTTAGCTCTCCAAGTGTTCTAAAAAGCATTTGTTGTTTTATTTATCATTTATTATGTTCTTTAATGTGTGTGGTCATAACTTTTATGTTTTTTTCATTGTATTCTATAATCTCACTGCTTTTTAAATTCTAACCTCTTTAGAAAGTGATATTTTTTTTTCTCCACAGTGGCCATGTTGTGTTAATCCCAGAGTTCAGTCTTCCTTTGGAGTATTACTTAATCCCTTTCCTAATAATAGTGGGGATTTGTCTTATTCTCATAGTGATATTTATGGTAAGTTCCTTCTCTTTAATGACTTTTTGCTTCCAAACAAATCATCATAATTGTATAGGTTCCTGGAGTTAAAATGCAGGGATTCAGTAAAGGAACAAGGAATTCTGTGTACTGTGTCTGCCTGAAATCCCTTCTTTCTCAGTGCAATAAACAGCTGCATATTTTGTCAAAGGGATGTCAGACACCCCTAGGGCGTCCCCCTCAGTATATATCCCCTAATGAAGGGCTGTCCTTGCCCCTACCCTTCCACTGCACAGGCTTTTCCCGCTTCCCTCCCTAATGAACCACGTGTCCCTGTGCCCTCTTACCTGCGGGCAGGTCCCCCCTCCTCAGCCCCGTTCTGTTTCATGCCCGTTGGTGCCCCTGTTGCAGTGTGCAGGTCTTGCACTGAGGCTTGCTGCAGCGGTGCCCGTGGCTCTTGCAGGCTCGGAAGCTGCCGGAGCAGGGCCCTCGCCACGGATCCCCTCCCGGCGGGCTGCTCAGTGGGCTCGTGCTCTCACCAGGCACTCACCAGGCTCCTTGCCTGTAAAAGGGAAAATAGCACAACTGCACATTATTTCCAAACACTTTGCATGCCGCTTTGGACTCTCTTCCTGGGCTCTGTCCAAAGTATTAACTTCATACCTAGTGCTAAAATAAATGACCCTTTCCATGTCTTAGAATAATGTTGTGGGGAAAAAATGCAGGAAAAAACAGCCAGGAACTTGGAGAATATTACACTGAATATCATGTAAGTAGGCCTGATGTAGAGTACTATGTGTATATATTTGGGATCGATAGTTGAGGGGTTTGAAAGTGGGCTCTGTAGTGTTGGAAATTATTAAATCCATTTACCCACGTCATGTTAAACTTTTAAAAAGCTGAGGAAAAGTGTTTGAAAGCATTTTCCAGGTTGCAGTACAGCATCTATGGATGTGTACTGATTAACCCTAGATACAGGATGAATACATATATATTGCATGCTGAGGGATCAAACAGAATAGCTGTTAAGTTATGTTGAAGTGTTGAGATACTTTTCGAAGGAGACTCTAGATAGGAAAGTGACTGTTAGGTGAATGTTCAGCCATATGCTAAAAGCAACGAGCTTGATTAAATACTTTTTCTTTGTGAAAAAGTTGATTGAAAGCTGTGTTTTGGAATTTGAACGCACTCTTGCTTAGTTACATAATTGCTACAGGCAGGAATTTAATCTTGAAGAGATGCTGGGTTGGATTTGATGCATGTTCTTTTGTTATTACCGCTGTGTTTCTCTTCAGGAAGTCTTGGTTTCAACAAAGAAGTGAATATGAGGCTCTGGTTGTTATTAAGTATCTGAATTTCAGCAGAAAAACTGCAGTTCATGCATACAGTTCATTTTTAGCTAGGATAAAAATACCTGAATTAACAATTTAGATCCAGCTGTGTTTAAAAAGAGAAGCCATATATGTTTCAGAAGGATGAATAAATTCTATTTTTTGTCAAGAACTAATTACCATTTCTGCCAAATAATGTTTATCCATATCACTGATAAGTAGGTTCCCACTTACTCTGTATCACATGATACGTTTTGAAATATAGCAATGTCCTTTAGATATCCCAAACTGAAATATTAATGCTGTTTGTAACATTAATATCCACCCATTGTTTACTTTGTCCGCAGGTAGAGGTTGTACACCTACATTTTAGCTGCTTTGCTTTTGCTTTTTCAAAAGATTTAGTGTGTATGTTTCAGTTAAGGCCATTTTGTCACATACATTTGTTGTCATCTTTGAAGAACAATGTCATACCATAAGTGCTAAAATTTGAAATAGACTAGAAGTCGCATTAAGAACTATTAGGAAAATGGAGAAAGAATCGTTAGCAGGTCAATGACAGCATAGGTACTACAGAGACAATTCTGATGAACGTGGCAACCGTCCTGCGGAAGAGCTCTGCTAATCTAAATCTGCTCTAAGTGAAGCCAGTCAAGTTTCACGAACAATATTAGCTCTGAAACATTGCCTCCATTGTGCCTGATTTCAGTAGGGGATTGGAGCAATGAGGATTGTTTTGTATAGTATGGACATTATTTTCTTTCATTTTCAGGAAAGCTTTGTATGTTTTGTTTGTTTGTTTTCAAGTGCCATAGTCATCAAGAATGTTACTGCTTTGGGTTTGTTTGGCTTCATCCTTGAGCCCAGACAGGAAGCAGATGACTCAGTTTGAGCCAGGATTCCTTTCTAACTAAATTAAGTGGCTACTCATAAGCAAAAACTTCTGATGTTCTTTTACCATTTTAATTTATTGTTGTCTTATTTATGCCTTTTTCCAGATCACAAAGTTTGTGCAAGACAGACATAGGGCAAGAAGGAATCGACTTAGGAAAGATCAGCTTAAGAAAATTCCTGTACATAAATTTAAGAAAGGCAAGTGAAATTTTATTTGTCTAAAAAATTACACCCTGTTGTTTCTAACACTAAAAAGTCTAAGTGAAGGGGTTTTGTAACTTTCAAGACAACTTTGAGTATACTTGACATGGCTAGTGGAATCTGAAGTGAAAGTATGAAAAAATGTTTTAACCCTACTCACTGAAATAAAAAGTTCTAACATTTCTAGTAGGTTCCTTATACTTATGAGTGATGAGAATTCAAATATTCTATAGTATACTACAAAATACAGTGCAGGGCTACAAGGATGATGAGGGGCCTGGAACATCTGCTCCATGAGGAGAGGCTGAGGGAGCTGGGTCTGTTCAGCCTGGAGAAGAGAAGGGGAGAGGGGACCTGAGCAGTGTCTAGAAGTACCTCAAGGGAGGCCGTGAGGAGGATGGGGCGGCCTCTTTGCAGTGGTGGCCACCGACAGAACTAGAGGAAACGGCCGGAAACTGAAACACCAAAAGTTCCACAGGAACTTAAGGAAAAATTTCTTCCCAGTGAGGGTGCCAGAGCCCTGGAACAGGCTGCCCAGAGAGGCTGTGGAGTCTCCTTCTCTGGAGATCTTCAAACCCGTTGGACACAGTCCTGTGCCACATGCTCTAGGTGACCCTGCATGTGCAGGGGTTGGACTAGATGACCTCGAGAGGTCCCTTCCAACCTTAAGCATTCTGTGATTCTATGAAAATCAATACAGAAATTTCAAAAAACTTTCTTGTTCTGTTGTCAGGGACCACAGTAGTCAGTCACTGTGTGATGCACTCTACCGGTCATCTGTTTGCAAATGCGTAGGTGTTTGTGGCCTGTAAATTCCCTGATTCTGTATAGACTATAAAAGTAAAACTGTTCTGTGGATATATTTTACGCACTTTCCAGAGGAATGGTCCTTGCATTTTATCACAATGCTTTTAGGAGGGCAGAGCAATTTAAATACAAAGTATTTAGTACTTTGGAAGGATAGCAGAAAGCAACTCCTGAGGACTGTAATACTGTTTTAGGGAAGGCTGGATTTTCTTTTTGTCTGTAGTGCAGTCTTACTGCTTAAAACATCTGTGTCTGTCTTTATACTCAACCAAGCTTTGTTTTTGACCAACTATAGCTAGAGTTCTCCTTTTTTTTTTATTTTTTTTTTACATTGCTTTATATCATGAATCACTCTTGAATAAATGGCTGCATATGACTATAAAAGGGTTGTTAAGGGCAAACAGTGGCCTGAGCACTTTTCTAGAATTAAATAGGCTGATAAGCACATGATGGTAAAATAAAGATTACTTTGTAGGATTGATTGGTATACCTGAAACACTGAAAAAAATGAACACTGGAGAAGAGAGTTAGGGCACTGCTACTTCCAGAAGATCTCTAGAAATTAGTCCATTTGCTTAAATAAAATAAGAGCTTAACTTCAGGAAATAAGCTTCAAAAATGCTTGTATTTCACATGTACATGGAAAACAGCACAATATGTGTGGCAACTAATAGGCTATGGGAGTATGTACAATTTAACACAAAGCTGTTTGGTTTTACGGGTGGGCTCTGGAAGATCTTTTCCAGCCATAATATTCTGTGATCCTATGTATTTTTAGGAGAGCTGGGGGTTGAATTTTCGTGTGTATGTGTGTACATAGATATGACTGAGACATAATGGGATGTAGATCTCTAAAATGCCTCTTTAAAATCTGCCCCAGAGTAAGTACAGTTCTGTTGTTTAGTAGGTGTTTCTAAATTGTCTTTTTCCTGCAGATGGGATTGTCACTGATCTAATTACTGTTCATTACTTGTCCATCTGCCTGGCTGCACAGTTACAATGTAGGCTTGACAAAGCAAATCATAAGATCTGCTGAAGTGCTGGCAGCTTTATTTTGCATTTTTCATTGTTCTTAAGTACACAGCTATTGTGATATGTGTAGATGGGTAATTCTGTATTTCTAAAAATATTTTTGTCTGAATATATGCCAAGCAGTTTAGGAGAGAATTTTGCTTACTAAAGATTTCCCAAATGCAGTTTATTTAATCAAGATAATTTATTTTTGCAGTTGTTTCCAAAACAACTTGTTTGTGCTTGGAAAGGTCTGCTGTAAATCTTTTGATGCAAAACTGATTCTGCTTTGCACTGCAGGAGATGAATATGACGTATGTGCCATTTGTCTGGATGAGTATGAGGATGGAGACAAGCTCAGGATCCTTCCGTGTTCTCATGGTAAGCAGCTGTATTTTAGGTTTGGCATTTGCATTAAAACAGCTATCTAAAACACTGTCTAAAAATCATAGTGAATATGTTGATTTACCGATTTCTAAAAATTATTTTTGCCTGAGGGTGTATACAAATTGGGGGAAGAAACTTTTTTCTTTTTTCAAAGAAAAAAAAAAAGATTACACTACTACTTTACCTTTACTTTGGATGTCCATCTATGAAAGTCTTGATTTTATTAAATGTAATTCTTTGATTACTCGTGACATGGAGATGTGGATGGATGTAGCAGCCTGTCCAGTAGTGTGAAGATAATCTGTATAGACTTGTGTACTTGAAGTCAGTGCTGCCAGTGCAAAAATTAGTGGAGCATTTTTACTGTAACGAGTTGAGCAGTCTTTCTCAAATAAATCCCACTGCAAAAACTGCATCTAGCAGCCACACAGGTATGCACTCAGCAGAAAGGACTGCCACAACTGTGTGTAAATACTAAGAGATTGTATCCAGAAATGCAGGAAGAGGCCTAAGCCCAAGAGCATCTCTAAACTAACACATTTTTGGGCAAAGATATATACACAATTATCAAGAGAGGATATATTATTTCTGGCTTTAGACCTTCTCTTCACCTCAGTCCATTAATCATGTTGCAGCCATGCTGGCTGGGTGGAGTTTTAACCAGATTCTTTGTGTGAATTCCTGCTCTTTTTCCCCATTGCAAAACCAAGTCCCACCTCACCGAGACGCGCAAGAGGCGCCCGCTGCCACAGTCCCACAAATGCATTAAGCAGAGCAGATGAGACTTCATTCAGAGAAACCATCTTCCCAAGAGGCTCACAAACAGAGACTTCTTAAAAGGGAAAGCACAGAACCATCCGTCATGCCCAGGGACCACAAAGTTAGCTAAACCTCAGCACTGATGCCAGAGGTTCCTGACAAAATGCAGAGCATCACATGAATTGCTGTGTGCATAAAATTACATGCACAAAAACATGTATGAAACGTGTGTACCCATGTCAAGCTACTTATGTTTGAAAGTGGAAGTTGTGGTTAAACCCAGCTCCCTGCAGTTAGGGGTCTCACTTAACATGTAGAGCCAAGTTTTTAATATAATAAATATGACACTCAAGCAAAGTTTTGCTGAATTTGAACAAGGCCAGTACAGTTGCTGTGCTGATTGTAAACCCAAATTAAAACTTGCAATGTTAATGTTTATTTAATAACAAGGTGTTTTGATACAGCCTCCTTGGATGAATGAGGTAGAGGCATTATGAGAATAATGATGTTGGGCAGCTCAGACTCACTGAATAATCATTTATTGTGTTATTTGTAATAGTGCTTATCATAGATAAGGATTTTGGACCTGATTAGGTGCTTTGCACGGAAGGATAGACCTTGCCTTCATGCCAACAAGCTTGCAACTAAAATTCTCTGTATAAGAATTTTGTAATCATTATTTTAACATAAATACAATCTAGTGGATTTATTTGTCCTTTGTATTTAGATAACGATGCACTTGTATTTTGTTTCTAACAGCATATCACTGCAAGTGTGTGGACCCATGGCTGACAAAAACCAAAAAAACGTGTCCTGTATGTAAGCAGAAAGTGGTCCCTTCCCAGGGGGACTCAGATTCTGAGACAGACAGTAGTCAAGAAGAGAACGAAGTATCTGAAAATACTCCCTTGCTTAGGCCACTCGCCTCAGCCAGTACTCAGTCATTTGGGGCTCTGTCAGAATCTCATTCCCATCAAAACATGACCGAGTCCTCGGAGTACGAGGAAGATGACAATGACAATATTGATAGTAGTGATGCAGAAAATGGAGTAAATGAAGAAAGTGTAGTGGTTCAACTGCAGCCCAGTGATGACAGGGAGTACAGAGTGGCAAACACTGTTTGAGACTACTAATGATGAAAAATGTTTGAACAAAAGAGTTCTTATGGCTGTGTTTTACAAACATTTACATAGGGAATATATTTTACTTTATAATCCATTTGGTTACTTCAGTAGGAGCAGTTCATGTAATAGTACTATGGTTTAATCATACTACAGATAGATTTGTTTTTGATTCTGATATTCAGTTACACATTCTGTCGTCTTGAAGAGTTTAACTGGATTTCACTGTACTAATGAATAATGTTAATAGTTTACATCAACAGAAATGTCACACAGACTCTACTTTAAATGTCAGTATCTTGTTGAAACGGGATTTAGCTGGAAATAGGTTCCCTCCCACCTCTCCAATTACATTTTGTAGGTACAGCTGGGTCATATGTCATACCGATAGCAATATTTAGTATGTGTATGGTGTTACTCCGTAAGCCCAACTAAAAATGTATGATGCATGTTTGTATAGGGTTTTCCTGAAAACTGCCATCACTTCTGAAAAAAATATAGAACAGATCTGTGTTCCATATTCTGGTGTATTAAAACAAAGCAGAACTGACACTTTTATTTCAAATAATCTTTTGGCAATTGCAACAGCAGCTGAGTTTAAGCAGTTCGTTTTGAGCAGTTCCTATGATAAGGAAATTTGTAATTTGTGTTGAGTTGTAAGTGATTCACAAAGTAAGATTTCTCATTAACACATTAATTGACCCTACTTGCTACTTCCATGTAGTTTAGTTTCCTGTGATCATGTTGGAAATGTGGGGTGACCAAAACAGAGAGAGAGGGGGGAAGAAAAAAACAAAAAAAAAGCAAAGTTCCTCTTAGGGGGGGAGAAAAGAGGGAAGAGGAAAAAAAAAAAGAAAAAGAATTTTAGGTAAGTATTCAATTGGTCCTCAAGTCATATACCTCTTAAAGAGCATTTTGTGCTGCAATAGTCTGCTAAACTATGTATATATAAAAAAAGTTATTTTCAAAAATACCTGATTTGAAAACAAGTGCTTAACAACTATTTAACAGAACTCAATACTTAACAGTGTATCATGAAAAGAGTAAATTATATAGAATACTTCTGTAACTATGTAGAAAGTAACAACACATATGTATAATCAAAATGCAGAGTTTTTTATATGGCCTTGAATAAGGAAAGCTTGAAAGAATGTTAATAAACATGTTTTCCACTTTAAGTATCAAACGGAATTTATTTAACTTTTGCATTACTTACACAGTAATAAATATAGAAGAGGGTACGATCGATGTAAGTTTAAAAATGTTCAAAGATTCGGAACACCTAACTGTTGAGATCTCTAAGTAAGGTTAATTCACCCACACAGAGTACTACACTGAGCAACCATATATGCAGTAGAACTAAGTTACTTAAAAAAGGAAAAAAAAAAACCTTTGTGTAATTAACTCGTGAATTCAGAGTAGGAGTTTCAGTCGCTCGAGGTCTTTGCCTGTGCTTTAATGGGGGAAAGGCAGAGAAGACGGGGGTGCCCTGGTGTCTCCTGCCCGCTGTGCCAAGGCCTTTGCAGCTGCAGACTTTGAAGTCAGGAGCCGCCAAATCCCGGCCGAGCGCGTTACAGGTGAGGCTTTTTCAGTTGTTATTTCTGAGCTAACGCAAAGTGCATCTCCACCCTCCTTGCTTACAACCTGTCCCTCCCCTGGGGAGGGAATTCATCTCTCCTGGACTGGCTAAGAAAAATTAGACTTTTCAGAAATAGTCATGGCAAAAGGCTAACTACTAAAGAATGATCTGTGTTCAAACCACTGCCACCAACAAGCTGTGGGATTAGGGCCAAACAAGGGATTGTGTTTTCACCACATAAAATTCCATTCCACAGTTTTAAAATGAGTGTTACTTCCACCCAAACTTGAATATATTTAGTTAAGTCCAAGTATGAAAACTGATCTCTTGAAAAATGACTAAGCTGAAGGTTGTTTATTTGCAGACAGACAGTTCAGGCCGTGGGTTCCTGCTGTTCACGTTTACTGTGTGTTGTGAGTGGTTATTCGCGCAGTAGCCGATGCCCTCTGCACGTTTGGGGTGCCTGAGCTGCAGTGAACTTTGCAGCCTGATGTATGTAGCCCTCACTATAGTGTTTGCTGCCATGACAAAGTTAAACTCATTTCTGTCCTACTCCCCATCACATACAGGAAAAGCACACAGCAAGTGAGCCTCTGTTTCCATGCAAAATCTAGTGTGTGTTTTCGTTTTTGTCCCATTTTATACATTTTCGAATGGTGTGGACATAAATTTATTTCAGCAAGCCTTGGTAATAATCACTGTAGTGACACCTCCGTAATCTATCTTATTTGTCTATTGCTATTGCTTATGAGGAAGAAAATGAATAACATTTTATATTATAAATACTCTAGATGATTAAGAATCTTTTATTTCTGTTGAACTTGTGCATTTCATTAAGACTTGATGGATAAGTGTGTCTCTAAAGGCATGGCCTGTCCAAACCTACAGGAAAAGATACATACGGCTTTCTTGTTGGACTGTGACTTGCTTACGTTGTTCACATGAAGCAGAACCACGTCTGAAGTGCCATGAGCACCTCAAATTTCACGTGAAGTCTGTCGGTCTTACTGCAGACTCCGAGCTGTCCCCAGGAATGGCACCCTTGTTCTCCAGAGGGCCACGCTTGATTACTTGGTTGATTTTTTTCTTCTAATAGCTGTCCATAACTAATGTCTAAATTAACACATTTTGTGTGTGAAAGTATATTATCTCTCTCTGATTATAGCATAGGTGTCATTGGCAATTACCACAAAATATAGTTGTTTGACTACTATGAATAGCTCCTTGCAAGCAAGCTTTTGCCCTAACCCTTTCATTGCATGAGGAGAAAATACACAGATGATGATGAACAGAATTATTGGTGGGTAACGGGCAGGGGGGTCCTGGAGGAACGGTGCGGCCGGGGTGGCGGGCAGGATGGGACGGCTCCAACCGCGAGAGCGGTGGGGCTGCGGGAACGTACGGGAGCCATGGGAGAGCAGGGACTGCAGCTTGTGACGGTGACAGATCTCGTTTGTTGGGGGGAAGGAATGCAGTAAGAAGTGTCTGGAGGAAGGTGATAGGTGTTGCTACTTCTGGTTTTTTTGACAGGTCAGTAATGGAGATCTAACCCCAAGGTATGGAGGAAAAAGAGCAGAACAGTCGCCCTCCTTCCCACCGAAGGGCAGTGCCCAGTGCTGGGCGAGCTCCAGGGCCAGGGCTGAGCAGATGGTGCTAATGGAGAGCTACATGTAAACAGCGTGACTGCATGTGAAAATTGGGTAATGCCTGAAATGCACTTTCTTCTGCAGTTCTACTCTGTAACTGAATTCTAAATAACACAAAATCATTTTAAAAGCAAAAGTATTTGAAAGGATAAGTAATATGGACCGGTACAGTTAAAATCTGTCTGTGGATGGTAATGGTGCAAAAAAGTAGCACAGTGGCATTTAACTGCAGAAAGGGCAGTGGCTGATGTGAATGGCCTGGAAATCAGCATTAAAAACTTAAAAAGCCCTGTGATTCTGGAAATAAATGTGGCCCCAACCGTCTTCCAGTAGATGCCAAAACAGCATGAGGGGTAAAGGAAGGGAAAGTATGCCTTTGGAAAGTGAAGCAATTTGGTCAATATTCAGTATCTATTTCTGAATTTGAATAGGCTAGAACTATGCTTAACCCCTCCCCACACACACACCTTTGAGGGCTTTGCTCTCGGCTACCATTTGCACATTTTTCTACTCTTACACTAGCTGTGATGTGTTCTCTTATCCAAACCTTGAATAAGAACATATTTCAACAAAAAAAGGTATGTGTTGGGATTGGGGGAGCTTCCTGGTGTTTGGGAAACGCTGGTATAAGAGAAGATGCAACAAGCATAAAGCAAATGAGTGCCCAGAGCACGTTTTGTAGAATGGAAAGCTCAGCTTTACAGACTGAATCACAGAAACTACTGTAACAGCAGGAAGTTTGTGTGTCGTGTGAGACTCTGCAGAGCTGAAAGGTATGAGCAGTTTGGACACAAGTTTTCCATGCGCTAGCAAGACAGCAAAGAGCAAATTACAAGCATGAAAACCATGAGAAACTGTGCAAATCAGGTTTCTGTACTGTTCCAATTTATGAATCCTTTTACTAAATCCTGAATGGTAAATCTGGGAAGGTGGAGGAGGCCAATAAGCTTTGTTACCTTGGGACTTTTTGGAACTGCTAAATTATGTAACATTAACTAATGGGCTAGAATCTAAAGTGTTAATTATACTAAGCAAAAGGGAAGGAAAACAGTTTATATATATGCTGAGCGTATATACATATATAATCTCAGCAGATAAAATCAGTTATTCACCTGGAACTTTATTTAAAGTGTTAAGACTATTTTCACTATTTCTTTTTTAAACTTGCGAGACAAAATGCAAACAAAATGTCCGAATGAGGTCACAATTTGGAGAATAAGCTTTAACACTGGAGAATAAGCTTTTGTATTTAAATTGTGTTTTAATCTGAGAAATGGGAGTTAAACATCAGGAATGAAATTTGCTAATAGCTTATGTTATTGAAGAAAGGTATTCTAGGTAGATTCTAGTGACAGACAACATTTTGCTTTGTAAATTCAACAAATGCATCTTGGAGCATCTACTTCTTAGTTCCTAGATCCATTTTTTAGTTACGCGAACAATGCCTTAGAGACACATGCCTAATAGAGCAGATACTCATTTAAGACTGGTTTTGCCTAAGAAAAGGGATGAGTAGTACTCAGTGCCATGTTAATGACAGTGATTACTACCCTTGGCCTTAAAAAAAACTCCCCAAAGCTAAACCAAAGCCAGCAGTCCCAAATAACACAATTTTCAAGTGCTGTTAGGTGAAGTTTAGGTACAGAGCAAATCAGCGATTCACGTACTAATATCATGAATCATAGGAGGAAAGACTAGGTGAGCTGGACCTGTTTAGCCTGGAGAAGACTGAGAGGGGATCTGATCAACAGGTACAAGTACCTGAGGGGTGAATGTAGGGAGGACGGGGCCAAACTCTTCTCGGTGGTGGCCAGTGACAGGACAAGGAGTAATAGGTACAAGCTCAAACACAGGAGGTTCCATGTCCACCTGAGGAAGAACCTCTTTGGTGTGAGGGTGCCAGAGCCCTGGCACAGGCTGCCCAGAGAGGCTGTGGAGGCTCCTGCTCTGGAGATCTCCAAACCCGCCCGGATGGACCCTGTGCCCCTGCTCTGGGTGTCCCTGCTGCAGCAGGGGGTTGGACTGGATGATCCCTAGAGGTCCCTTCCACCCTCAACCTTTCTGGGATTCTGTGATTTTATGGGAGAGGCAAGAGATGTGTCTTCTGTACCAAACACTATTAAAAGTAAACCCCCTTGAGGGCTATGGGCTTGTTCTAGCTATTTTAATTTCAGCACTAAAATAAAAATCAAAAGGTGGAAGATGCACTTCAGATACCAGGTAACTGAACTCACGTACTACCGTTAACAGCTTTAGCTGAACGTGTGCTCTAGTGACAATCAAAGGAGGGGTTGCAACACTTGAAGATAAATTGATGAGGGGAAAACAGTAATTTTACCAATAGCATCTAAGCAGCACGAGCCTGACATTGTCAGGACTGTGAAGAGAAATGTGGCTTTAGATGAGGATTCACCACTGTGCTCTGGGCTTTTCTTTCCTGTCCCATCCCCGGAGCTTCTCTTGCTTCCTATCACATCTCACCTGTGTCCACATGGCACATTGTAGCCATTCCCCTAGCTTGTGCTTTCAGAGTGCGGGGCCAGGAAGGTTCCCAAAAGCCCTCTACAACTTTGTACAGTCACTGAGAGCTGAAGTCTCTTCCCTCGCTGTTCTTATCCAAGGTGTAGTTAGCAGGACAGAAATCCCTTCTAGCTCCTGCTTTGGGAAGTACAGAGAGCGAGCAGCGTGTCCACAGAGCAGGGCTGATCCCGCTAGCCACAGCGGGAGTCCCCTTGTAGTCTCGTAAACCAGAGCTGGTCTCCCAGTTTCCAGCATCTACTGGAGCCTGGCTGGGCTGTTACAGACTTGGCCTTTTGCCCTTTAACTAAAGGGGTATTATCACACTCGTACTGTGCTGCAAAACTTACAACTGCGCTTAGACCTAGTAATACGGAAGTCTGCCATGCAGTGAAGAAGGGTCTCAGTGGATGTCTGTGGAAAAAAGAAAAATAACCAATAGTCTGATTTCGTTTGGTTGGAATAAATTTATTTCATCTGTCTGTAAACAAGGTGTTTTTAATAGTTATGGCATTTTTTGAAATGCATATTAAATCAGATGAGTTAGACTGTATCCCAGATGTAACAAAGTGCAGGGAAAGAAATGGACAAATCAGCAACAAGAATTTGTTTAAATCTGTACATTATCCACAAGGCCCAACAACAGAAGCAAATACTAGAGTGTCCCTAAAGTAGTGCCATTCGAAAGAAACCCTTGTAGTCAGTTAAAATCCATCTCACAATAGCAACAGTTCTTTTTTTTTTTTTTAAACAATAGTATGGCACAGAATACATATTAAAAAATTCATCACAAGACAGCCAAGTCAGTTATTCCAACCAATACCATCTCCCATTTATTTTTTGTATACAGAATTCTGCAGTTCTCTTCAAATGGACATACAAGTTAGTACCGTGCCTGAACTGAGTTTGGTTACGCACATTTCAGACGACTAGTGCACAAGGCAGTTCACTTCATGATTTCTGCAGCAAGGGTGTGACAGGCCCAATGAAGATACTCAATTTGAAATGGCATCATCTTGACAGTTTAGGTTACAAACTACCACCCTTCATCCAAATAGTGGCTTCAGAGCAGCAAGACTCTTTACCAGCAAGTGTACTGGCAGAAAGACTGGGGTCAGTCAGTGCTCCCTGAACAGCTAAAGGTGGCAGTTTTCCACAAGGACATTGCAGTTTCATATTGGAAAAAAAAAAAATCCTCAAGCTGCAAATTAAAATTGGTCCTATGAAAAACTGAAACCTGACACACTCCAGATGGTTATGTTGGGATATCTAATGTCCATAATGGCAGCCTTTTACAATTCAACTACAGAACAGGAGCTGGCAGGGGAAAAAAAAAAAAAAAAAGAGTGCCTGAGCTATTGCGCCGATGGAGGGGGCGTCCCTGGCGAGGGGCACGGGGGCAGCGCGTCCGCGCCCTGCGGCAGCTCCGGGACTGCACGAGGAAGCAGGACACGCACCAGACACCGTGAGGAAAGAATAAAAGACTCGAGCCTACAGTGAAGTGCAACAACAAAACTAATGTAACGTTAATAGCTTTTCAGTGGCAAATTGGTTAAGCAAACCAGGCACTATAAAAATAGGTTAAGCAAACAAAATGTGAATCAAAAAGGGGAGAGGGAGAAAAGTAAAGATATGCATGCACTTTTTTTCCTCCCGACCATGCTCTATGAAAGGAAGACTAAGTGAGCTGTGTAATTGCTCAAAGTGCTGAAGAGGCATTGATCAAATTAGATTGTACAATCGGCACCTTGTTTAGTGTTTAAGTTGTTTTAGTTGTCAGTATCGCACTAATTGCTGAGACAAAGCAAAGCATATCCCCCTCCCAGGAGTTTTTCAAGGTTCATGCATATCATCTTCATGGTGCAGTAATGGTGCCAGATGTGGGATGTGGTTACATACAGTCGTTAACATACAAATGAACAAAGGTAATGGGAATTATGACATTAGAAAATGGGTAAATAAAAAACACAAACTACCATCTACGGTCTGGTAGCACTGAACACAACTGGGTGGTGGTGAAGACAGTTGCTAGGTGGATGGGGAGAGGCTGCTCAGACGTCAGACCTCCTCAGGTATAAAGCCAGTTCATACGCTTTCTTGTTGAGTGTCCCGCCATGGACACCTTCCTTTCCCATGACTATAACCAATGCTGGAGTACACAAGGAAACAAAACAAAAATGAACAGAATTAAAGAAAAAAATAACACCTTTCCCCACCGACAAAGGGATACAAAGGAGACACAGGTTCATACCCCATCACCCTGCATTGCTAATAAAGTTTCCAGAATGTAAGGTTTAAAGCTCACCGCCAGGAAAGTTTAATAGCAATATTTCCCTAATACTTAACAGTCTGCCTAGCAACTAGAACCCAGAGTCTCTCAAGTATTTTGCCATTGAGTATGCCTTCTTATTCAATCCGCCTCCATGGACCCCTTCTTTGCCCATTACAAAGACCAAGACTGAAAGAGAAAAGAAAAAAAAAGTTTTAAAAAGAGTGTGTTAGACAAGGAAATAATGCAAGTTTTAGACAGTGCAATAAACACACTCAAATTCAAGTTTTAGTATTTGGGTATTAAACTAGTTTAACGGGAATGTTGTAAAAATACAGACATAGACAGGGTTGGGGGAAGGCATGATTTATCCTCCAGGATATTACATAACTGTGAGGCATAAAAGTCCACTGCTAAAAATGAAGTCATCCTGAAGGGCTACCGACTATCTCAGGAGAACATGATGATGCTTATCCACCATCAACCAGCCAGAAAACCCCGGCTGCATCTTAAATACATGGAAAAAAAATATGTTAACAAGAACAAAACTGGTAGCATGTATGGAAGAAAAGTGATTCTGAAAAGCAGACAAGAGAATGTCCTTATCTGTAGTGGTCACTGCTGGTACAAGAACCAGGCTTGGTAGTATTAAAAAAATACTGGGTCAGGCTTAAGCTGGCACCTGTGCAACAATACAGCTGTAAAACATACCTAACTTTTTGCATGAGATAAAGGTCAGCGACACTTTTAATGCTGACCCTCTAGTTCCACCGTTCGGGGGATGAAGTGTGGAATTGTGCTGCAAAGCAGAAGGTGCCAGGGAAGCTCCCCCAGTGTGACACCGCCCGCAGGCTGCCACCAGATGTCACCAGCAAGCACGTGGCCACGTTAGGGACTGCGCTTTCAGAGCACAATAGTTTTGTTCTAAGTTGGAACACTGTAATTGGAAATACTGCAGTCAGCCTTCCTAAAGGGGACTGAGCATCTCCACAGCAGTTTGCTCACACGAAGTCTAAGACAGCAGCTCTCACCAGCATCGCTTACAGACAAGTTTTGTGCTAGCTTTTTGTACGTTGCAGGCAAAAGTCCACTGCTCACCAATTTACTGCACAGCCCTCCAAAAATTCCTAGGTTTGAATACAAACCATACTAATTGTATCCAGTATTTTGAGGCAAGATTTTTGTATTTGATTCCAGTGCACTCCCATGTTTTACATGGAATTAAATGAGCAGCACAAGGAGCAGTCAATCTAGCAAAAATCAAGTATCCCAATGATTCCAAATTGGACTAGCTTTTTTTGCCTCAAGACAGACTTCATGGCAAGTGCAAGAAGAGTTAGTGTGGAACTTGGTAAAAGACATGTAGACGTAGCTCATACAAGAAACTGACATATCTGCAGAATAAATTTTCTACTGAGTTGGCAATGGAAAAGCTGATTTCAGTAGAAATCACTAATACAGCCCTACGATGCTCCAATGTAAGCCTTAGCTGAACGGTTACAATGCTCCTGGCAAGCTGACCTGGAGCCACAGCCTCCTGCTGCCTCTCAGGGACACGTTCAGCCGCTCCACAGGCTGGTGCGCAGCTGCGACCACGTGTGGGCAACCAGGACAAGGGGAATTCCTGGGCAGAGACCTAGGTGATGAGCCAGGCGGCAGCCGTCCGCCCGTGCGGTGTCACATCCTGAACCTCACTGTTAAACACGAGATTTTGGGCTCCCCTGCAGCCTGAGCCTAGGATCAGGGTCACACTCCTAGCTGGGTGAACGGGAGCGGTGGGAAGCGGTGCTCACCTCGGCCAGCTCTCCCTACGGCCACGTTGTACGTCGGCTCACCACCTTGGCTCTTTGTCCTGATGTCCATCGTGCAGTCGCCATCAACGTACAGGCTATCTCTGATCACGGAGCACTTCTTCGCACCAAGGGTCAGCCCGTTGGTGAAGAACCCCTCTC